TTTTTCCTCGAAAACCAAGGTCACCTCACGAATACGTGAAAGTTCCGTAATTTTTCCGGTATTCTTCTTTCTGTGTAGGTAAGTGACAAAATTATCGAAAAATTATCAGTATAACAAATAAGTAACCTCGTCGAATGGTGCAATTCTATTGGCTGAAATTTGGCGGGAAAAAATAATCAAGAATATTTATTTACCGCAGAAGTGCGGGCGGAAAATTGAAGAAATTGAATTAAACAGGAAACGAGATAGAAGACTCTTGAGGTCTAAGGATAATTCACGAATTTTAAATGGTTTGAATTAGACTTGAGGGAATGATTAATAACTTAATACCCCTGAAATTTCTCTTGATTAGCTGCACAGGGACTTTCACAGTTTGTGGATTCACTGAAAAATTCTTACACAAGTCCGCGATTCCTATCTCTCAGACATCCCGACATAATTTGACTGAGGCTTAAAATTGCCTTACAGTTTGCCTCCAAAAGTTTATAACGGTATTACGGATGAAGGGTTGGGTGAGAGGTTAAGAATTTTCCGAGGGTTATATCTTACAAGAACTTAGCACTTGAATACCTTTACGTCGTTCTAATTCTCGGGGCAGTTCAAAGTGAGTGTAGAGCCATCTAAGAATAATAATTCAAGGGTGATAGGGGTGAGGAGGGGATGGAGGGGGATTACTGCGCAGTTTGAATATCATTTCTCGGGTGAAAATGCAAATTCGGAGTTTGGGGGAATCGATTTTATTCAGGCGGCATTACACGATTGTCGCTGCCATAAGCTGAGGAAATAAAATTGCAGAAAAGGGTGTGTTTACCTGAAGTGGTATTGAATCGATTTAAACTGATTAATTCGTGGGCATTGCCATATTCTAATAATTCACGTACCGAGGGATAAATTAGTCACGAGATTTATGTCCACTCTCAAATAAAACAAGTTGGATATTTTTTTTTCATTGGTGTGTATGCCATACTTGTGTCTATCTTACACTAGTGGATGTTATCTTTTGATATTAAAAAAATCAAATAATTTATTTGGATATTTGTGGGTTTAAGATGGGGGGCGGTCAGTTGGTGGATGGATTGATTTTTTTTGCATAAGTGTGTAAAAATTAGTATAATTTATAAAATATAATACATATCTCTCAGCGTTTTAGTTCCGGCATTGGATTCCTGCAATTCCGGCAATTTGCGGATTTTCGAGGCCCCCGGGAAAAGCCAGAAGTCGATATTTTCGTTTGTCGCGTTTTTTCGGGTTCTATGCATCTTAGAATGGAAAATGCCCTGTTTTCTGATCCCTGGGGTTTTTTTTGTGAAGCAAAAAAAAATCGGTAAACAAAACAATTTTATTTTTTGGAAAGTTTGTGAAAAATTTTTCAAAAATTTGAATAGGAAATTGTTTTCTATAATTTAGATGGCGTTTTTTTGAGAATATTGAAAAATCCAAAAAGTCAGAAAATAACAGTATAATTAAAAGAAAAAATTATACTCGCAAAATTTTCTAGAAAATGATAAAAAAAATTTTCCGAAACAAATTTTTGAAAAATTCTTCAAAACATTTCCCAAAAATGTAATTGTTTTGTTAAAAGACAGAGACAGAGTAAAAGATAAATTTTTTGAAAAGTTGGAAAAAATATTCCGATTACAATTTTTTTACCCGGGTTTCATAAGATTTGTGCAATGCTCATTTGGTGCCTTTTTTCGGACGCACAGCTTAGGTATGCGTAAAAAAAAAAGCTGACAAAAAATTTTACATAGTTTTTTTAAAAGGATATCTCACGCCTTTCATCGTGTGGATTGCGATACTTTGAATTGATGAAGGCAACCTTATGCAGCTCCACGTGGGCTAACCCTTTTCCGAGGCTGCCCTACTCCATCAGAAAAAGGCGTTCTCGCAACGAAAAGTGTATTGGTTCAATGCTGCGGTTACGTGATCCGCAAGAGCGATTGGCAAAGAGTCGAGGCGGAAAAGAAAAACCGGGGGAAAAAAAAAATACAGAGAAATACGTGAAAACCCGGGAAATACTCGCGAACATGCGGCAAATATAAAACACGGGGAAATATGAAAACAACACCTGAGATCCGAATGAATAAACAGACAAATCAAAACAAAAACACGAAATGGAGGAGTAGCCAAGTCCTGTATTTGAGTGGTTATATATCTTTCGATTCGATGACGCGATTCAAACAAGTCAGCCTTCATTTTATAGCTTGAAAAATTCTCTTTAAAAAATATCTAGACTTCACCAATTTCACTCAGCGGATGCCGAGATATTGGGATTTGAGTTTTGAAATGGTCGATTTTTTTTTCGCTGCGAGAAAAAGAAAGGAATGGAATTAAGTCCTAAAACTATACTAGCAGAGAGTAATAAAAATACTTCATCAAATTTTTTCAGTGGACAATTCCAAGAGGTTTGTAATTGAAAGAAGGGATAACGTAATTTTATTTCCCCTTATTTTTTCATTCCGGGGGACAAGAAGAGGGAGGGAGGGAGGGAGGGATAATGGCTGAGTTACTCTGGGAAATTATCTTAGAACATCATCCGATATTCCCAAAGCCAACAAACCCAGGCAAAAACAATTTTCTCATCAGGGGAATAATTTGATTTCCATCAAGAGTCTGTATTTTGCATGAAATCAGAGCTAACGAGGACCCCCTCCTCGGGCTGATTATTCACGTTACGTAGATGTTACAAAATTTAACAATCTTCCCATTCCCTTAGCATCCGACAGCACGAATCGACGCCCTTTCCCTACAACCAGTCGCAAAGTTAGTTTGAGTCTCCCAGGGTGATGATTATACTCCCGTAGCGTTTCAAATGCGTCGGGTTAACAGTCGATTGATTATTCGATAATGCTTGGGCTATTTCACACCGGTTGATGAACCCAATCCTCATTAATTGAGGGAGAGAGATAATTGATTAATCCGTGAATTTTCCGATGCACGCCATTTGCGCTTTCCCCTTTGTCTTCTCCATATTATCCATGTTATTATTATTTTCATTACTTCGATTGAGTACAGAACGAGAAGATTCTGGGAAGATTTTACGTCAATTTGTGTCGTTGGAATTTTCTTGGGGAATTTCTCTTTCTGTACAACTGGCACTGCAAGTACTTTCCTGAACGATTCGTACGCGGTTGACCCACTCCCAAAGATAACCGACCATAAATCCGTGAATACTGGGTAGCAAATGGTGTATAACGCATACTATAACGTACATGGAACGTTAAGTTTGTTCAAGGAATGGGTATATATCCTATGTAAATAACGGGAGTCAAATGAAGAGAGGAAAATACGCGGTCGACTGATGATGGAGTTGGAATTAACATCTTTTTCCTTTCGTCCGGGCATTTCATGATTTCTTATTGAACCATAAGTTCCTTGTTCTTATGAAATCTCTAAATAAACAAAATCTTTTTTCCACCGGGTTGCTCAGGGATTTTTCTATTTTTATCGAAATTATCTCCTTCGATTTCCAATTTTGTCGTAATATTTGACCAAGAAAATGAGTAGTATTCTCATCGCCTTCGTAAACCATAAAACGAGGCGACTGGTAACCCCCGAAGTAGTGAGAAGCTCTCGTAAAGATGGGGTTGTGGCTGATCCATTCGTATTCGACTGGAATCTATCAGATGAGGAGGTTCACCACCACCCACCACCCCATCGACCCCATAAAAGTCGATACACCGAGAGAAATTCTTTGAAAAAATTCTAGTGCTCTACTGCTATTGCTACTCTTTCTCAAACTTTTGAGATATCGATAGTCTACTCAATAGTCAATTTCAGATATAAAATCGCTCAATGCTGGGTACACAATTTAAATATTCCATTGACAAGTTATAATCGATATTTTATTCAACGGCGAGACAATAAGCATTTTATCTCTCGATAGGATGAGTTGTCACGTAATTTTTCCAAACATTTTTCACGGTGTAATGCCACAATTTTATGGAGAAATTGCTGTTTGTTCAGGAAAGTGGAATTGATCCTTTCTCATTTACGACTGAATTTTTCATGCCACCACGTGCCATCAACTTCACCGTAAAAGCCGCGAGCTATCGCTACACTTTTCCCTTATTTTGATGACAGCCATCTCCCTGTTGCTCCTAAAAACCTGCTAATAATCCGTGAAATTCGTAAACACTTATGCTTATCTTTCTTTCATGCCACCCCCGTTCCCCCGCCGTAAATAATAAAAGCGAAAGGTAAATGTTGTCTCGTAAAACCGGAAGTATTCTCCATTTCGGAGTTCAGTGGAATGGAATAATAAAGTGAAGAAGGATGGAAACAACTTCGAGAAACTCATTTCGAGTTAATGCTCAGGGGTGGAAATATTTTTGGTTAATTTTGCCAGTGGGAAAATCGACTGTATAGATTATACTATAGAGGGTATTAATCCCTACAGTTCCACTGATTCGAAATTCGATTTCGTCGAAATTATTAAGATCACTGCTAGATATTTGTTTTTTTTTTTTTTTGAAAATCCACGGGAGAGAAATGTAAAAATTACCCACTAAAATACGTAAAAATTTACGTAAAGTCAGGTGTAGATATTTATCTGGTGAATCGGAGATTATGATAATGCAAGAGCCTCTGGGAACTAGAGTTAAGCTCACAGGCGAAATGATTTTCCCTGCAGTAGTGGGAGATCTCTTGAAGTACTGAAATATGAAACTGCGGCAATATGCAGTAAAGAGACCAGAGTATTGCTGCCCTTGTGTTTGGAGCAACCAACGGGTAACCGTCTACTGCCTTAATAATCCCCGATTTAAACAGCATCCAGGTCTTCCGACGACTCATCACAGAGGACATTACTATGTTCATTGTCCCATTCGTTGCAGATCTTATCATTTATTTGACAGCTGCTATCAGCACTCATTGCTGGACAATTGTCTCAGCAATTTCACTATATCTCTCCAAACTATTTTTTACACCAGCAAATTTACCATTTCACTATTGCTCATCACAATTAATTATTTCCTAAAATGTGATATTTATGATTTCAGGGGAGATGGTGCAACTTCGGCTCCTGCATACATTCAAACTGTGGATAAACGGGCGGCACACGCGACAGAAAAGGGTGAGTGTAATTTCTCAAGTAAGAGATGGTTTTGCCACGAGTTCTTAACTATTCCAACTTTCAATCCAACCCCACCCTCTCTATCCCCTCGTAGCCCCTGTACTCTCTCTTTACTCTCAGGATCTTAATCTTGTTATACCCGCGGTGAGCTAGTGAGTTCTTCTCTGGGTTGGAAAAGTTTGCTGTAACCACAAAATTGGATGAAAGCCTCGGGAGGAAATGCAGTTACATTAAATGTATAGACTATAGAATTTTATAGTGACTGAAAACTCGGTATCGCGCGGGGTTGGTTAAATGCCGTCTGCAGATGTATTAGATTTTTAGCCGATAGAATTTATTAATTACGTTGGGATTATTCAGTATTTTTTTTTTTCGTTTTTTCATGGCCCTTTTGAAATATTAAAAATTGTCAGGTTGAGGCTTTCAGAACTTCAGGGCTTGACATCAGGGTCGATTCAATTTGTGCAGTTTCTTTTTCAATTCACATTTTTCATCAGACATTCATCGCTTGCGCGTGAAAATTCAAATTTTTTTCGTCTTGTACTGTAGTCATTTCTATAGGATTTTTCTCTGCGGGTATTGGTTTGAAAAAAAAATCCAATGAGGTGGGCAGTTCTCAAATGGAACATCAAAGGTCTCCAATTAGGACTTAGAGAAGTTTTAACTCCCGACGTTTGAATTTTTCATCTCGCGAGTTTTTAAATTCCCAATTTGAGACTTTGGAAAGTCTTAGTTACAGGCTTTTGTGAGTCTCCATTTTACCTGATAGGTATCAAAATAAAGTTTTTTATTTCCGTGCCATGTTATTGAATTTCTTCCTGCGAAGATTAAATAAAGTGCAAAGTAGACTCGTGTTTCCGGAAAAAAAAACAAAAAAAAAAGAGGCAACTCGTTGACACGTAAGGGCTCTTCTGTCCTAGAAACAAAAGGGAAAAAATCCTGAAACAAAACATCAAAGAGGAAGCCACTCGACCTCGTACACGTGCACAGTTGGAAAATGAAGCGTTCTGCACTCGCATTGTCCATCTTTGCCGGTCTCTCCTATTTTTTTGCGCGTTGCATCATCACAAGTTATTACATGTCCTCACTCCGGGGAATTTCGCAAGAGGGGCAAAAGGTTTTCTTGTTATTAAAGGAATCAGAGGAGTCAGGCAACATCTGCACCTCAATGTGCACTTTTTTCTCGCACGTGCGTTTTGTTCAGCTTTTTGCCAGATTCTCTTAATTCCTCAGTTTTTCCAGAGCTTTTTTGTCTAGTGTCAGAGGTGGCCTGCACCTGTCGCGGGAATTTTAAACTGACGATTGATTTCTTTTATGTTCAATACCTTCAGCTTCATCCTTGTGAATTTTCATGCTTGTCAATTTTCAAGTAATGAGCTCGATATCACGAGTGAAGATTTACTTTTCACCAGACTATTTTCTCTCTCAATGCATTTTGAAAAATATTCTCTTCCCGCTCATTTGTGGTATTAATTTGGCAACTCATACCAATAACCTTCAGCTTCATCCTTGTCAATTTTCATGCTTGTCAATTTTCAAGTAATGAGCTCCATATCAAAAGTGAAGATTTAATTTTCACCAGACTATTTTCTCTCTCAGTGCATTTTGAAAAATATTCTCTTCCCGCTCATTTGTGATAATAATTTGGCAACTCATACCAATCCCACCCTCTGTGACATCACCCATTTCACTCCCTGTGCCATCAGGCAGCCATTGTCATTTCGTTCCGGAAGACAGGAGACACGACATAAAGAGGATGCGGAGTTACGACGCAAATACGACGAATAGACATACCCGTGAGGAGGAAAAGGTCCTCTTCGTATGTTCCAAGTATATCCATAATGCTGTGAATTATATTATGAAAGGAGACGTTCCGAGTGCATCATGAATTATTCATGGAGACCCACTGGCTCCTACTCGCGAGAAACAAATGAAAAATAATGGAATCGAAGGCGGAAACGCACACCGATACGCTCCCCATTACTTCCTAGTTTCTTTTTTTTTATGTCTTTTTTTTTGTACCGCGAATGAGGAAAAAGTGCAGATAGTTTTTCTCCCGATCGTCCTCGCTCTGTTTCAATGTACAGAATGGGGGAGAAATCAATCTGCCGTACGAGTATTGAAGAATTGAGGGGGAGGGAAAAGTAATCGCTTGCGCTCTAACGCGAGAAATAAAGGGAATCGATACATTCCGTATATATGTAGGGGATGAGAGAGGGGTGGGGGTGAAAAGTGACTCGGCTTTTAAATTATTCCCTTTTTCAATTTTGGATGCAACGGTAAAGAAAATATTGCCATCGGAATATTTTTTCCAAATTTTCCAAAAATTTCTGGAAAACTTTTCAGAAATTTTTTTTATGAAGCAAAAAAAAATCGGGAAACAAAATAATTTTATTAAATTTGAATAGGAAATTTTTTTTTTATTATTTAGATGGCGTTTTTTTTTTAAATATTGAAATATCAAAAAAGTAAAAAAGCAACAGTATAATCAAAAGAAAAAATTGAATTCGCACAAATTTCTAGAAAATGATAAAAAAAAAATTCCGAAACAAATTTATGAAAAATTTTTCAAAACATTTCCAAAAAATACAATTGTTTTGTCTCCCGATTTTTTTTTTCAAAAGAAAAATTTTCTGAAAAGTTTTCCAGAAATTTTTTGAAAATTTGGAAAAAAATATTCCGATCACAATTTTTTTTTACCGGAGAATTGTTGAGAATCATAGTTTCCTCAGAGCTATCGTAAATGATGTGTATGCGATCGTAATTTACGAAAATTACGAGACGTTATTTAGATCTAGTTAAGGAATTGTTATTTTTATTAGTTGAAATATATTCGGTGTGGGTCTTACTGACGGGTATAGGGTTGTCAGTTTGTCACTGATGGAAATATCACTAACAAGTGGAAATAGTGATTTTTCTGGGGTACGTTTGGGGGAGGGTGAGGTGATTGATGAAACGGCCAAGGCGGACAACATCAATCACACCCAGGTGACACGCCAATTAGTTGAATTTTTCGAATCTCAGGGATCTATAAAATTGATGAATTGACTAGTGTAGATGGATTGAACAGGTTTTCTGTTTGGCTCGGAATTTTATCATTGTGGTTTTATGATTTGAGTGGGGGAGGAATTCCCGAGATGAATTCTCATTAGGTTAACTCGTCTGCAATACAGGAGAGATAAGACCGTGAAAAAGAAGGCTGGGATTACGCAAAGCTCCGACCCGGTAATCCGGAAAAAAAAAACACGACACGCCAAGATTTTTCTCTCACTCCCCCCTCCTTCATCCTCACAATTTTCTACTTATTCCTTTCACTTAACCCCGAGATGACTCTGCTTACTCATTTCCTTTTCTCCAATTACCTGAAATGGAGATAATTAACCAAGTATGAAACCGAATATTTTCGCAAAGACACAAGAAAAATTCACTGATATCAAAACAAAATTATTTGAATTTCTTCATCTGAATTTTCTTGTTCTTCTGTTCTTGATAATTCAAAATTTTTTTATTGGCGGAATGGAATTGACGGGAATGAGTTGAGAATTGTTGTCCGGAATGTAGAGGAATCAGATCAACAACTGTTCTGGGAAAAAAAAAAAATCTCGGGATAGAATGAAAGGCGGCTGTCTGGGACGCGGGTGTCTCCGTACCCTTCATATTTCACACCAACAATTTTTTTCCCCCCCTCCATTCACAAGTTCCTACGTTTTATCCACTCGTACCCCCCTACCACCCCGCAACCCCTCTTTTCACAATTTTTTATCCACCCTCATCTCGAGGCAGATGGGCGGATGGGTTTGCACTCTCGCGGCCCCAGCTCCCAGGATATTTCCCAAGACTGCATTCCCACAATTTCTCTCACCCACCGTCATCCACTAGATACTCGTGGAACTGTGTCGGAAGACATGTAATTCGTCCCGAGGAAAACGCTTCTGCGGAGAAAATGAAAAATCGTGGCAACTGAGCTCTCGTGCTCTAGAAAATTCTGAAGACATTTTATTTCACATCTTTTTTTCCTTCTCTCTCTTTTAAGGGTCGGGACAAAGGGCCCCTTCCAAGATTGAAGATGTGGATTTTATTTTTGTGAAAAATTGTATTTATCATCCAGATTCTGGGGTGGAAGTGATTTTCTTTCGTGGTGAAAAGGTAAATACGAGATTGAGGTTGAAATATCGTTTTTTTGGATTTTTCAATTCTTGGTGAATTGAAAGATTATGCCCCTGTAAACGGTTTATCTGAATCAAAAGGAAGATTAGCTTTCCGTTATAAAATAATGTTTGATTATTTCAATAATGACATTTCTCCCTGAATTATCGCGTTGCCCCTGGCAACGTGAATTATTTTCTCATCAATTAGTATCTGGTTATTAGTCTTAATTCTGTCCATTGTCGTTGTTTGGCGAATCTCCAAAGATCTCTCGGAATCTTCCCACTCCCTCTGGATTTGTAAACCCCTTGGCGGAGGGAAAAAAGCTTTTGGAATTTCCGGGGCACATCCAGAGAGTGTGGACTCATCTCTCTCGAGTGCACACCCTGGGTCACGTGTACGTGCAAACACTCGACCGATGCCCCAGAGACATTTGCCACCTCGATTTCTGTTTCTCTTCGACTCTGTTTGTGGACATATTACCCGCTATTTCACGTGATTTTTTTTTTTGTTATTTTCCACCTGTCCTTCAGCTCCACTGGGGGATTATACTCTGACAAAAAATTTCTCTTCAGGGTAAATGCCGTCTTATCGCAGAACCTTGAATCAAATTGAATTCTCACATCTAACGATTAGCGTGGTACCTGAAAATATTCTCGGAATGGCTCATTACTGCTATCTACCACTCGTTTCACTGGCGAACTTTGTCTTATTTGATTTTGCTTTTTGTCCTCCAAAGGATTTCACTCCCAACGGGGGTGGAGGAGAGGAGTTAAACGTGGAGGGAGCCGGAGGAAGTTGCAAGTTAACTTCGAGAACAGGGTCACTTTAAAGTTGCATCACAAGTTTCTTCCTAGACGGTAGTTGTGTGAAAATATTTGATTTTATCTCCTTCGCGTCTTCTACACTTCTTTTTACTCTCCCCTTTACTTTTTCTTTTTTTTTTCGACTCTCAAGAGTTGTAATTAGGAGAAAATTATACGGGTGGAGAGTGATGCGTCGAAAACAGATGTTTGCGAATTCAAAGGGAAACTTGGTATTTTACAAATTGAGAGAATGAACAGCGATGTTTGAATTTAGTGCAATATTTTTATTTACTTCCGGTGATTTGTGTCAGCAACAGCAATACGTCGACTTCGGGGTGGCATTATTACACTGCTACAGAATTACTGGATAATTGGAATTTTTTTCCCTCCATGAATTTATACGAAATTGATTTTCATTTATGAATGGAACAATCGGACAATTTAATCGAAATTAATATTTAATCCTGATCATGGGAGTTGAAATTCAAGCTGCTGTTGAAAGATTAATGATGCAAGTTGAATTGAAAAGAATTTTATTTCTCGGAGTTGAAAAAAATGGGGCGCATGGAATGTCATTTTTTACGGCTGATTCATATCGAAAACAATAGCTTTTCTTCGAACGATGAAGGGATCGACTGCAACATAAGAATTCCATCCGTCATTCCTCTAGGGAATGCAGTCTCGAATCATAATTCCCGACAAAAGCTGACACCTATCGCTTCATTTCACCAGGAAAAACTTTGAGTAGAAAAGCTTTCAACGACGAGATTGAATATTCTTAGATTTATGTTCCGGGTAATTTCACATTTTTATTCACAATGACGAATGTCACGTTCTACACATTTTCCTGTCAATACTGCATTCTCTTTTCTACCCATTTCCTATTTCACATCCGGAATTTCTCTGGATCATCTCTTGTCTTGCGTTTCTCAACAATTCGGAAATCGACGGGCTTTTTACCCCCGACTATCATAACATGAAAATGGCAATTTCAAATCATTTCCTGGAGCAATTGCTTTCAACCCAGTCGCGAACAGAGATAACTAGAATAGATGCAGCCGGTTAATCCACTTTTACAATTATTATTTCATAAAAATTACGTAGCGTCTTTTTTTATAATTCCCATACGAAATGCGGAAAATTCAAATTAACTTCCACATCATCATCATCATATCATATAATTAAAAATTCAGATGGCGGTGTGGCTGAAATTTCATGAATCCATTAACAGGGTACCATCGTATATCGTTTAGTCTTGATTCATGAAATTTTTACGATTGCAATATCATTCCTGTCAACAGTCAAGTGGCAGTGAGTGTCAATGTCCCTCGAAAATACGACGCAGTTGGGCGTTGATTAAAAATGCTTTGTGACTCGCCTGAAAACTGAGTAGACACAGTAAAAAAATTGCTAAATCCATAGGGAAAAATACCGACGAATATCCGTGCTACGGGGGTGGACTGTGGGTGGGTGCACCGATGGATTGGCAAAAGCTTGCACAGATATATGACACACGACAGTCTCGCGATGACGTGATCGAACAAAAAAATTGAAGCACAAAACGTACCGTTTGCACTAAAATTTTTTTTTTTTCACAGGGTAAAAGGGGGTGAGTTGGTTGACTCGGAGGGAGGGAGGGGTGGAGGTGCAGGGGTGGTACACAGATTTGAAAACCCGTCAATTCTGGGTACATATGGGTGGAGTCGTTTAATCGAAACCTCGGGACGATGGATGGAAAATTGAACGAGGAGTGACTATTTTCGTCTGTTCAGATATTTTTTTTTTTCATTCTCGCAATAAAGTCGCCTTTTTCTTTCTCTCGAGATGGCGATGTGAAATTTAATTTTTATGGATCAGTGGACAACAGTGGGAAATAGGATAGTTCTTTGTCCCATTGAAAAGAGGTGGTCGTCTTGATTTAAGGTAAGAGCCAATTTCTTTGGTAGTTTTCGAGGAATTTTTTCATTTTTTTTTTTTCGTTTTTGTGCACCTCAGCAGACTCATCTCCTTACTTTGACTCTCTGCAGCCCCTGACGTTGAACGTATACCCGAGCTCATCCGAACCTTATTACAAGCCATTCTTATACCCCCCATAGCCGTATTCAACGCTCCACCATATTCTCAATTTCCTTGGATGTGAAGATGTGATGGTTTATGGGGTCGTAAAAATTTTCACTTACGTTCAATACTGCTTCGGGGCTTATCGCTGGGACTATCCCGTGGGTTGGATATTTTTATCATTATTTTTTTTTTTCGGCGTATCAATTTTTTAGGGGATAATAGTTGAGATGGAGTGATTGAAAAGTGGACTAATTCACAATATTTAAACTTTCTGAATTGAGTCTATAGTGAAATTGAGGAAAATACATGAGAGTTTATTTTTTCTCAGTACCAAAATATTTTACTACTCTAGTACTAGAATACTTGTTGAAAATCGATGGTTGATCAATCAAAGAAGAGTGCATTCATCTGAATCAATGTTTAAAAGTCTCAATAAATGAAGCAATTACCCCCCCGGTAATGAGGCTCATCGACATGTTGTAGGCGTTGTATGTCATAGGCTTGAAGGTTCATCGGACGTCTGGACCCCGTCAGTTCGCTTGCACACATACAAATGGGATAACAAGCTGTAGCTCAAGCAAACATAGCTGATTGCGTGTACCTAACCTCGGTCGTGAACCTCCACCAGTGCCAATCAGGGTAGAATGGGAGGGAAACCGGTGGTTGTATCGAAAATTGCTTTGACACATGGGGGTACAGCTGTACATGGGATAGCCGGAGACGATCGAATCCGCTCACCCCTGCCTAGAGTCATAGAGGTGATTAGAGCACCACCGCTCAGGGAAAATGTCAGCCTCATATTGTTCTCTTCATGGTTAATATCTCGAGCGTTTTTTTTTTTTTGTGGATTTTAAGTGCTCGATAGATTTAATTTCTTCAGACTATATCGGAAGTCGGAAGTTCAGAGTAGAACGATGGAACTGGGATCAGTGGGCAGCCCGAGTGAATATCTGGGGCCTTTTTTTGCAAAATTTGAAATTTTGGAAAATTGAATTTTTGGCGGGCGAAAATCGATTTTGGAAAATTGGGGTCGCGGTATCTCAATTAGATTTCAGGTAAGAACGATGCAATTGAATTCATTAGGAAGCCCAAATCGATATCTGGGGCCTTTTTTTTTCAAAATTTGAAATTTTGGAAAATTGAATTTTTGGCGGGCGCAAATCGATTTTGGAAACTTGGGGTCGCGGTATCTCAATTAGATGTCAAGTTAGAACGATGCAATTGGATTCATTAGGAAACCCAAATCGATATCTGGTGCCCTCTTTTTCAAAATTTCAAATTTTTGAAAATTGAATTTTTGGCGGGAAAAAATCGATTTTGGAAATTTCGAGTCGCTGTATCTCGATGAGATTTCAAGTTAGAACGATGCAATTGAATTCATTAGGATACCCAAATCGATATCTGGGGCCCTTCTTTCAAAAATGTAAAATAACCCTAACCCTAACCCTCACTCTAACCCCGAAGTCACATTTTCATCAAATCGTTTGAATTCGGGGAAAAAAATTTTAGAGTTAAGATTTGTGGAGAAATGGGGTGCGCACACTCTTGAGGACAGGCGCATCTAGGCATTTTTTCGATTGCAATCCTGTCGGATAATCTTGATGGGTGTGAAGGGGTCTCGAGTGATGTTGGGGCATCGTCCGCTTAATTCATCGCATGTGAAACTTAATTAGGGGGTGGGAAAGCTAGTGGGTGGAGCTGGGGATGGGTATCAAAGCCTGGATGACCTTTTGACGCTGGTTCCTGGTGTGTTGACGTGAATTTACGACGGCGTGGTGACAAATTACTTGATTAAACGCCCTGTCGTGATTCAATTTGACATTTTAATCTATTTTTTTTATTCTCCACTTTTGTTGCAGATCTAGAGCGACCTCATGATCACAATTCCAGTGGCTCGGGTACCATTCAAGTGAGTACATTCATTCAATCTCCACCTACACGAATTATTTAATTGAATAAAATAAAAAATTGTTTTTTAATTGAACCAAATCAATTTTCTTCACTAGATCACTAGACGTACCATTTTTTTTTATTAAATTTTAGGTGAATGAAGTTTTTTGTTTTATTCAAATAAACGATTCCTAGATTATTTCGCTTTTATTTATCCCGGGGTTTAGCTTGTTGTTTCCGTCGTATTGATATTTTTGTTGGGCTCAACTGTCTTCAACGAGTCACAAGAAGACGACTCTTCTCCGATTTGCACATCGTGAAGTGTAGCTTGTTGACCGCAATTTGTGGATCTCGTCTATTCACACGTACTGTGGTGGCATCGTCGCTATAATAACATCGGACCAGTTGCGGGAGAATTGTGGTAGAGGGAATAATGAAAGGAAAATATGAAAATTCAGGATCCCTTTATGGTGCTGTTGTGGAGACACGGTGGGACATGCTTGGTAAAAAGGGGATGAAAAGGAGTTTCTGAGGGTACGCGTATACACGGTAAAGAGCATTACTGTTGCCGTATTTCATAACGGAGGAAAGGGCAGGACCTCGTTTTAGAGGATCTTGTGGGGTGAATGCACTAGGGGTACTTTCTAACCGCTGTCAGGCTTTCAGGGGTGTAAGACAGGGTGAATTCATTCTGAACGCATTATATTTGCATTTTTTTTTTCTCTTCGTGGTGAGAGGTCGTGTTTATCGCAATTTACGGAGGAAATGGGTTATTCAGGTTGGTATGGAGTGCGGCTTTTAAGAGTTAATTTTTCGGAATTAGTTATATACTGATTGCTGCTTTTATTTTTCTTCAATTTTTCTCTGGATTTTTCACACTCTTCTATTTTTATTTCTAATTCCTCATTTTTCCTCATTTATCATTGGTGATTCTCGCATTTCTAATGCTCCAATACTTCCTCGTGTCTCATCGTATTGCATTTCTCAATTCTCCGACGACAATCTTGAAATGACTCCATAAACCATGTGACGTGCCTCTTCAAAATAAAAATAACATTTTAAATGATGCCGTTTAACCGCACGTTCGATCCCCCGGAGCCACTCAAGGATCCCCTCGAAAATTTACGAGGTCAACCTTACGTGTTTTCAGTTCAACCTGAAGATGGTGCCTGTATCTTCAGACGATCGCGTGCTGGACAGTCCCGGGGGATTGAATGTGGGATGGTAGGGGTGGATGGGGTGGATGGGGTTATTCCCAGAGAAATAGAGACTGCGAGACGCAGAAGGTTCACGTCTTCTTAATGAAGAACGAGGGGTGTGTGGCCGCTCTCATGGATCCGGTGTTTGTGTGAGAGGGTTGTGCACCCTCGAGAGAAGGAGGACGTGACGAATAGCCAGTCTCCTGTGGGCTTCCTTCCAGCCAGGACATTAACGCTACTGATTATGGTGTTTCTCAGTTCTCAGAGTTTCAAACTCACTCAGATACGGGAATACAGGGGAGGGGGACGAGATTTTCGGGAAGGGGTGGAAAAGTTTCAGACATTTGTTTTAATTATCATAAGTGGGTGAAGCGGGTTAAGTGGATATTGATAGGTTTGGTCAGACGGCATTTGTGCGGCGTAAGTAGATCACATAGATATAACGCGGGACCGCTCCGACATTTTTTTTCTATCTCTCCTTCACTTTTTTTTTATTCAACCCCTGGTTGGGGTTGCGGGGAGTTGAATGAGTATGAACTGCTAGTAATTGAACGTTTGTTTTTTGTACTGACGGTACAGCTTGAGAAATATTTGAGCAAATTGTATTTATCGTCCTGTTATCGTCCTGCGTTAGTAGGTACACCCATGACGTGGTCAGACCACTTTTTATTACGAAATTAATTAATTAGCGAATGGAATTCTTTTAAACGTGAAATGTCACGCGAGTAGATATAGAACGCGGGTTATTACGCTGTTAGAGATTATATTTCATGAGAATTTCGTAGTTTATTCCAACCTTTAATTTCATCTTCTACTTTTCTTAATGAATTAATTAATTATGCAACGGATTTTATCCTGAAATCGGATCCCTTATATTAAAAGAGCAAGAGGTTTTTCATTTCATTTTGACTTCAATCCTAATCGCCTAATTGCAGTAAATTATCGTCACAATTAATTAACATCAACTTCACTAGTAAATTGATACATATTTTGACAATGTACCAAATTTAATAGGTACTTGAAGAAAATGTATCGTTCGAGTATGAAAACACTCGAGTGTGCAAAACGTGAGGATTTGCCGCAATTTCTCGGTAAATTTCTCTTTTCTCGCGGAAAACTTTCGTACCACTCTTTTCTGAATAAACTAATAATAATGAACAAAAACTATAATATCTTTAGATATATAATATACATATATATGAATCAGATAGGTTTATGTGATTCATTTTGAGCGCTATACCGTTAATTATCAATGACTTGCGCGACCTAGTAAAGGGATTAAATGAGGAACAGAGCCGATTAGACTGGAAAAAATATAACTCATAAAAATTTAATATTCCATCATTGGACTAGAGTCAATAATCTCTTTTCCAATAGTTACTATTTCGGGGTTTAAGTAAATGACGGTAGACAAGTGGTGGGACTTTTGATTCCTCGACAAAATCTCGTCCCGAATTTTTGCCAGAACTTCATGTACAATTTTATGCACAAAACTTGGCATTCCCATGATTGGAATTCTCAAGCGATCTCGGCGGGAGTAAAAATTGGTCGTTTTTCTTCGAGAGAGTGAAAGATATTTGTTGCCCTCCCGGAGTTCATAAAACCACCGCCACCTCATGATGGTTTTCGATCTGTACCCTCAACGTTTGGTGTCACAGGAACTGAAACGAAAATTCGTCCTTCTCCTCTGGTCTCCCTGAAATTCGAATTGGTTGTTATCCAGTGCACGTAGAGAACGTCGTGACACATTTTTAAAGCCACGAGGTTTGTGCCCGAAGCGAGAATGTCTCGGTCTACATTTCTTCGTTTCTTTTCTTCATCTTGGGGGTAACTCCGACACCCAAAGCCCATACATCGCCTCTCAATGCCACTGCAGATGGGTTTATTCGTGATCGAACTACGTACCAATGCTGCATACGTTAGCTGTTATGAAAAAAATATTAAAAATTGGCTTTGAATGAAACTTTCGGACGGGCAGATCATGCATAAATTCACTTCATCAATTTTTTTTCAATTGATTTATTGATTTTTCTAACGTGAATTTTAATAAATCACTTGATTAATTCAGTTTGAATAAAAAATTTTTTGAAACGCGTCAAATAATTCCTCTGTTTCTGGCTGAATGTTCAAGTTAATTGATAACGGGGAAAAATGGAGAATTCCGGTAATTTTACTTTATCAATGTGACGGAAAAAATGTCAATTACTTGACACTTGCAAACGTATTTTACGGGTGATATTAAAGCGTGAGTTACAGTGATATAAACGTACTTTACAACAAGGCAATCGTAAATTATGCTCACAATTCCCGTAAATTACGATTATAAACGGAATTCACCATATCCTAGTCATAAATTACGATTAATACCGATACAGGTGTAATTTTCGGCAACGACATCGTGAATTACGTTTATGTTACCGTTATTTAATCGAATTACTCTTTCAGTGTCTAGTCAGCTGACATTTTAATTGGGTGAAAAAATTCCGTGAAGTCGATTTTTTTTATTTTTCATCTCTCCATTTTGCCCCACTCTTTACACTACTCCAGGAGAATTTATGTGCTAGAGAATCTATCGATCGTATAAGCTCCACCTTGGCGAAACGAGAGAGTAGATTCGTTAGCTGATGCTGGGTGAGTTTGAAGCCAAGTTAAGCTCATCAAGAGGGATTCCCCCTCAGGAAGATCACACAAAAGGGGTAGAGGGTGGTCCATGTGAAGGGTAAAGAAGGACGGAGCATAGTACGTGATCCAGTGGCTGAGTGTGGAGGCCGGCACGAGACCACCAGCAATGATTGATTTAGACAGGAAAGCTCTGGCAACTGGCCAGCCCCTTGCTCGACTCTCGAATTCTTCAGCGAAATAGAGAGCCCCGGGGATAAAGACAGGGGGAATTGGACAAAAAAAAATGGGGGATAGGGGGGTGCGAAAGGGGGCAAAAGCCCTGCGCCGGCGAGACAAGAAGCGATATTTCATTGCCACACCGCCCAGGCATAACCCGAAACTTGAATTTTTTTTTTTAAACCCTTTTTTTTTGTCTTTTCTATGACGGACTTCATTCCACCCTTCTCAATTTTCTCTTACACTCTGAGAAGATATGTAAGGATTACGGATGATTAGTAGACGAATTGGTTTGCAAAAGTATCATGAGGGGAATATATTCGCGTTTAATTCATTTGACATGTGATTTTGTAATCTACAAATTGAATTTTATTTTGAATTTATATGTTTATTATATTTATTTATCTTTTGGAAGGTTTTACAGTGAAATATTTGTGATTACAGGCGACGTAGGGACACAATGCTACGGGTGCTAGGGGTTCGACTGCTCTCGAGGCTCCTCGTACTCGTTTGCTCGTTATCGCTGCTATCACTCCTCTTCCTGAATCGCTGTGGATTCAACAGTATTGATGATGTCATCGACACCGCTGGTGAGTAAAAATTATTTTAATTCATTGTTAATTGATAAATTGAGAAACAAAAACGAAAGAGGGAATCTCAATTGGGATTTAATTTATACTCCAATTAGTCCTTCTGAAAATTCTAAACACAGCTGTGTCTGTAGATCCCCGTGGAACCCTCTGTTTTATACGAAATATTCTCTAAGTGAGTCTCAAAATGATGAAACACCAGGGCATAAGCAGTGACACTAAGTAGCTTCACAACAAGATTATACAACTTCCCTTCTAGTTTTCCCTTCCACAATGGTATTTCTTCTCCATTATTGCTCACCACTAGCTTCCACTCCTCGGAAACAATTCAATTAACTCGATGAATTCTCCGAAATGAGGGAATAGAGACAATTAGTGTCTCGATCAATCATTGCGCTCGTAATTCTTCATCAAAACAATCGTCGGGGCATTGTTTTCAAAATAAATTTTCGAAAAATAGGAAAAGTGAGTTTTTTCCTTTTACTTCGCACGCACATTCATTCCAAGTGTTTGCGATGAATTTTCCAAATTTTTCCGCACCCCCAGGCCAAATTCGCGTAATAATTTCCATAATTTCTGCCAGAGACTGGGAAAATTTTCACTAAAAATTCTCACCAGTTTAAATACAAACACGTTGTATTTTTGGTAATGCACAAATCTAATATAAAAATGCTTAAAAAAACTCTACGCTAGCTCGAATAATCCTCGAACGTTTAACCATCGTGTTTATTCGTGAGCCTCATGAAAGGCGGGAAGCGAAAGAAAAATTTCCACACAAAAAGGATATTTCCCCCATCCACTGGCAAATATCAATCTCGAGTGCTTCCATGTCTGCGACTATTTACGCCATAGAAGTGCTTTATCCACGTCGATGCACCCAAAAAGCTTCAAAGGTGAATCGGGGAAAAATCCGGTCCATGCACCCCCTGTGCATGAAGAGAGAGCCTTGTCACTCCTTTTGAAATTCAACCGCTGGGGTAATAATCTGTTTTTTTTTTGTTACCAGCTCTGTTGCTCGTTTCATTTTTCCCATGAATTCAATTTTTCAAAATTTCTGTCATACAATCACTTAATAACAATTTCCAACTAATCGATACTCTATAAAAAATATACAATTGAATCGAATGGATTTTTCCTCGTTTTCCTCGTTTTCCTTTGATGAAAAAAATTTCCTTTACTAGATTCCAGAAATTTATGAAAAATTGAAAGGTACACAAAAAAAAATTAGTTATTAGCCGGAAATTAATTGGTTCAACTTTTGTTTAAACAAATTTTTAATCCCGTAGTCGCGAAATTCTGTGGAATATTTTCTATGAATTTTCCTCGCCGCGTGAGAGACTGGTAAAATTTGCCTCCACTAATTTCCAAGATCTTCCTGAAATAATGAGTTATACTGAAGCCCTGGAGTGTTCTATTTTCCTCATCACTGAGCCACAGGAATCACCCTAATTAAATTATCCTCATACCATCGAATCATCCACCCGAACCAAGAGATTGGGTAATCCAACCGACAAACCCACCCCAACAAAAATAGACTTGAGCCAAATATTTGACGTAAACACAACCCTTTTAGTCTCTTCTTCCATAAAATCTAAAATATGCACGTCAAGAGGCAAATTTCCATGTACCCGAGTGATGCATTCGAAACAGTATAAAACATCTATCCATTGATGAAGTGCACTGGAAGGGATGAGATTGCACCGAGTAATTAAACCGCTTTTTCTATGGCATATGAATTGCAGTAGGAAATGGAACAGTCGTTCTCTCAACACAAATGAGAGCTCGCGAGAATTCTATCTCAACTACTCAAATTTTTATTTCACTCCGATAATAAAGTTCAGGTGAGATTGAACTATAAAACACCGGAATGCTCGTAAGAAAAAAAATAATTAATTATCTGTCGCTGTCATGAAATATTGAAAAATATGAAATATTAACGGATCTAGACAGAGCAAAGAGGACAGAGATGATAGCCATTAAAAATTGTCATATATACTCGGGTAAAAAAAAATTGTTATCAGAATATTTTTTCCAGATTTTTAAATATTTCGGGAAAACTTTTCAGAGAATTTTTTTTATGGAACAAAAAAAAACTGGAAGACAAAACAATTTTATTTTTGGGAAAGTTTTTGAAAAATTTTTCAAAAATTTGAATAGGAATTTTTTTTTTATCATTTAGATGGCGTTTTTTTTGAGAATATTGAAAAATCAAAAAAGTAAGAAAACAACAGTTTAATTAAAAGAAAATATTATAGTCGCAAAAATTTGTAGAAAATTATAAAAAAACATTTTCGAAACAAATTAAAAAAAATTTTTTAAGACATTTCCCAAAAATACAATTGTTTTGTTTCCCGATTTTTCTTTTGTTTCAAAAGAAAAATCTTCCGAAAAGTTTTCCAGAAATCTTTTGAAAATTTGGAAAAAATATTCCGATTACAATTTTTTTTTACCGGGGTAGGGGATATCTACAATTTACATTACCATCAGGAAAATAAATTTTCAACTTTGACATTGCGAGATTATTTTTTAAGAGAATAGTAATTTTCGATGGTCAATTCCAACCTCGATATTCTAACAAGATTAGTCTGTACATGAATGGGGTGCACATAGTTAGTGAATTTACAGAATAGCAAGGGTTGTACCGGAAAACGTTGTTACGGCGAATGAATATTCAGGTGAGAGGTAAGAGGACAGATAGGGAGCGACTCATATTATTCAGGAGTCGTACGGACACTGGATCTGGGGATGGGTTTGTTTAGAGGCGATGGGCGTGTACCAGAGGGTGGTTGGGGGGCAATAAAGGCGTACAACCGGGGACCACTGCCAGCCCGGTGTAATTATATTATCGGCGGACGTTGGGGTCATTACATGGAAAATAAAGGGTGAAGCGTGGTTTACAATTTCGCCCTCGTTTAATAAGGGTCATTCAATGCTTGCCTTTGACATTAAAATTTGTCCCACGAACTCAATAACACTCAGATGCATTGTTCAATATTTTTATTATATCATATTCCCTCGATGGTATTTCAGCTAATTCCCGTGGAAATTTTACCTCGCGGAAGAAATTAAAAGGATGCTGGTTTTTGGTTTAATTATTCAGGGGATTTTCACGTGCATATTTATGAGATTTACGAATCAAATTTTCTCTTCCCGGAACGATGGATTCTACGGATAGTCAATTAGTAGATGATAATCGAATTTTTAGAGATGAGGGAAATATCAGAAATAGATAACAAATTTATTTTACCGTTGCCCCAGGGCTCCATCTACTACATCTACCATATCTATCACATCTATCGCCTTTGAGGTCGAAACGTGGTTTTTTGTAAAAATCGAATTTTCCATGAACCAAAGGTCGATTTTACGTATTTTCGTCTCATAGATGACAATAAAACTCTCCCCAATGGTAAAATTGGGAAAGTGAAAAGAAAAAAACAATTCAGTATAGCCTCCGGTGTGCGATTTGTGATTTTGGAGGAGGGAAAGCGATTTTTTGTTCCACTCGCGCCGACAAATTGTTTTATTCCCCCAATTCTGTTCCGTAAAATTGAATGGCAATGTATAGGGAGCTATGACCTTTCTCAGTCAACCTTGCAGACACTTTTCGTAAAGATTTCCTGGACGAAAATGAGGGCGTGGCCCAAGTGCTAGGAGATTCATGACTCCCACGCCTACCCTTTGCATGAATTTTTCGTTCTATCCTCCATCTTTTATGGTAATAATCCCACCTACGGAATTAAACTCACCCGGTGGATAAAGAAGAATGTCTTCCAAAATCATTATTTATCGTCTAGGAAAAATCTAACGTTTTCTCTCCCTCATGAATGTTCGTTACGTCATCAGTGAAAATTTATCGCACAATTCTTGTAACGGCTTTTACCAATCTATTCTTCATTCATCATCAATCAATTAATTCATTAATTATTTCTCCGCAATCTTCTTTCAAATTTTCTTGGGATTAAATGGATTTGGGGTAAAAGTCATTGTCCGTTCTATTTTTCGAGATAAGTTGAAAATAATAGAGGATGCTAAGTTTGGCGTCTCGAAAACTCGATTACATTGACACGTTTGGAGGATAATTCAGGGCTTGTAGATCTGCATAATTACGACAAGTCAATGAATCTCTGATTGTACTATCAACGATAGTTAGAGGATTTCGCGGAGAAGTTAAAGGAGATACGTCAAAAGTTGCTGGTTATCTTAGAAATACCGCTGGCCGGAAGAAATTGATTGCAATTCCGAAAAAGGTATAAAAATAGAAATGAAAAATTCCTCGAGAAAATATTATAATTAGACAGTAGAAATATTTTACTCATACCAAACACCTAATTTAATTTCATAACTTCATTTACTTGGGAAAAATCTAGAAATTTATTTGCGTGTAGTAAATATACTGGAGGGACGATATTTTTTTCTGAGTGTATCGAATAATAGTCGTTATGGAGGTATTGAAAAGCATTTTGCCCTGTTTGCTCCACTCGATTCATCCCGAGAGCTCCCAGTTTAACATGACGAGACAGAGGTTGGAGCCTCTCATAAACAGAGGCTGCCTATTACCACGAGAAACCATTGGCCAAACACTTGGAAACCATCTGGGTTGTCCTCCACCGACTAGTGTATCCATGTTTTAAAGTGCACTCCCAGCATTCAATTCAATCATCGAGCTTTGTGCCTTCAACAGACGATACATCGATCGATTGGTTATATCAAACAGGGTATCGATTCCCTCGTCCCCAGAATTTGCCTTGCGCTTGTAAATTCACCCCTTTCACCGGGTCTTTCCGTGCCGAGTGCAGACCAACTCGTCCAAACTCAAAATTAGAAAAAGTTTCACCCCTTCAACTCTCGCATTTTATCGAGCTCAAAGGATGACAGGGTGTTCTATATTCGAGCGATGGTTTTCTATACGTTGAAAGGTTTATTTTTGGAGACATTTATTTATGATGGAAATTTACCCTAGTATTCTGTTTGTAGGGAAAATTAAAAAATTTCGTTGGCTC